CAAAAACCTTTGAAATTCATGCATGTAAAGAGATCTTCAAAATGTTCAGAGAAAATGGAGTGAGTGTTATCATGCAGCAGGTTAAGCTGCCACTTGGGATCCCACATCTCATAATGGAGTGTCTGGTTTCAGTCCTGGTTACTTGGCAATTCAGATGCAGTTTCCTGCTAATGAGCCTGGGAGGCAGCAGATGATGGCCCAAACAGTTGGGTTCCTGCCACCCACATAACAGACCCTGTTGCAGTTCCCAACTCCTGACTTTAGCAGCCATTTGGGGTGTGAATCAGCAGATGGAAGATCTCTCTGCCTTTCCAACCAATAAATAAAATCTTTTCTTAAAAAAAAAGTTCATAGAAAATGCACATTATTTAAAAACTATACATGGATTTCAAAAATCTTACACCACAATGAATTTATCTTTTAACTCCATTCCATGAACGTTTCCAGTTCAAAGCCTACTCATTTATCTTAATCCTATGTATTGTTGAAAATCTTTCCAAGAGCACCTTCTTCTATAATCTTTCCTCTGAGAATCAAAAAAATCACAAGAATATTTGCACAAAACCAGTCACACTAGTAGATTACCTTGATTGATTGATTGACTGTTTGACTACCAGGAATTAAATTGGTTAAGGTAAAATTCTTGAGAGATTTCTTGAGAATATGTCACTGCTTTGCACTTGGATTATCACTAATAGTTCCATGGTCACACTAAAGACAGGGAAATATTTTTAAGAATCTGCAAAGTTATTTAGTTGAAACTTGAAAATCTGTTCTCGTCTTGCTCATTTAGCTCTACTTTTGTTCCAAGTGCAATAAGAAGCCCCATGAAGAAGTCATCTGTACAACTGTTGCCACCTATAGGTGACAGATGTAGTATATTAATTTTATTCTAATTCTAATGAAACACAGCAGCTGAAGGAAATGGTGAAGTTTTTGGAACCTGTGTAATTCTCATGAAACACCAGTCTTACATTACAACAACATTGTTGCTGTTCCATAGTTCTTATTTCAGGTGTTCCCCTGAAAGATAATATTGGCTGATATTTATAAAGTACTTTTCCAAGCTGGGTGTTAAGAACTTGAGCTCTGCAGACAGTCTGCCTAGGTCAAAATTTAAACTCCACCATGTCTTTGCCACCAAGACCTTGCCAATATTACTTCCTCAAGCCTCAGTTACCTGAAAATGGAGACAGAAATGGCACCTGCCCCATAGAATTGATGCGATGATGAAGAAAGACGATCCCTGCAATGTGCTTAGCAGAGTGTCTGCACAGAACAGGCACTTGATTAAATGCTAACTATTATGGCCACAATTAATTTGCAAAGCACCTTCACATACAGTTGCTGTAAACTAGCATGCACTAGTTTGTCACCATCTGCCACATAATTAACACATTAGTGTTTGACCTCAGTGCCTCCTTATAGTTTAAATTTAAATATTATATGACTTCAAACGCTTAAAATTGTCTGAGATCTGACAACACAGTGAAATGCTACTTCACTGTGCTGCTGTGGAGAGACAGGGAAGTAAGCTGTCTTAGAGCTTCCATTTGTAGCTGGTAGGACTACTGGAGAAGACCAGGCCAATGTTTAAGACTTCTGGTGCTAGTGGAAACCTCCATTGAGAAACTACTGATGGTTTAGCATTAGACTCAGTCTTTAGTTAGAAAGCCAGGGGTGGGAAGACAGGAGGACATTTTTAAAAAAAATGTGTGAAACCAGCTCCTTTGTCCAGAAACTCAGTCAATACAAAGATGGCAACTTGGCATGCATGCAGAGTTTTTTTATTGTGATTTTTGTTTTAATATGAAGCAATACTTTAATAACAGGAAATTGTAAATATGAGCAAATGTTGACCTAGATTTGTGTCCTTACCTTTGCAATCAAAAAACCTGGAGCCACTTTTTTGCACAGCAGCAGTAGGGGTGATCTGAGCAGCTGCTACTGCCTGTAGACACAGCCTGTGCTCCTGGGCCTATGGTGTCCTCACCACTCCTAGCTGCATACTGACCGGAAGGCTGAATGCCCTCTGGGTCCCCTTTTGTCTGTTGCACTGATGTTCTTAGAGTCAGGAAATATTTGTGTCCTCACCATTCATCAAAACTGTAAAAAGGAAGCCTGGGAAGTCTGTGTTTTTCTTAAAATAGGCAGTTCCTTCATTTCCATAAGCTCCCTGGCCAGTGTAGGCCTTTGTTATAATCAGTGGAATAAACACACCTACAAACTGATGCAATGCCTCATAGACAGTGGGCCTCTTCAAAGTAATTAACTCTTTCCTTACCTCCCCCTTCACACAATAGTACTTTTCACTGGTCTTTCTCCAAGACTGCAAGATCTAGGCCAGTCTTGCTCAAATTTTGACACGCATCAGAATCTCCCAGTGAGCCTGGTGAAAGCTGATTGCTGAACTCCAAAGTTTCTGCTGTACTGAGACTGACTGGAAAACTTAGCATTTCCTGATTCTTTGATGATGCTGGTGCTGTGAGACTAGAGAACACACTCTCAGAACCACTGTTCTAGAATAAGAATCCTGTCTTGTACTTACTGAGCCCCTAGTGCTATGTGCCAGGACCCGGAGGCACTTTATTTCTAATACTCACTTCAATCCTGAAGTAAATGCTTGTCTTATCACCATGTTATACCTGAAAGCAAGATAGACTTGTTGCACTCACACAACAGGTGAAAGGGCCAAGAGGAGCTGAAGCTCAAGTCTGTCTGCCACCAGCCAGGTCCCAGTGACACCCTGTAGGACACAAGTTGTTATTCAACTGTGTATCTTCAGCATCAAACCTTCCACCTAACTCATGGTAGCTTCTCTAGTGTTTGTTGAGTGTATTTGTGATCCACATAGACCAGAAATAAGCAAGAAAAATGCTTGTGGTCCTTGAATGAAATACAAGGGAGAAGACATTCAGGTGAGGAGAAAATTACAATGATGTCCTTTATTTACCTATATTTGGTTAATGTAAGTAAGCATTTGCTACTCTCTTTATGTATTTTTAATGTTGTGCAATATAATTCTTTGAAAAATGAACACTTAAAAATTGGCACGGCATCAAAACGGGCTCTCCCATGGCATTGTTCCTAATTATGGAGCCACTTTTCTGTAATCAGCCAGGAATCTGTCCCTCAGCTCTCCTCTGGTTTCAAGGTAGCCTTTTGAGATTGAAAATTAGCTCTCTGAGCAATGCTCCTGCACGTTAATAATTTAATGAAATGTGTACTAGCTCAAGGATGACTTTCAAATATTCCTATAGAATTGCACCATTTCCCGTAGCAGGGAAACTCTGCCTGCACCTGCTCTTGGGACGCCAAAGCCATCCACTTCCATCTCTCTCTCCTCTTTCTGTTAAATATTTAGCATGGAAAAGTCCATAGGCTTTGACTGTATATGTTTTCCTCCAATAAAAACACAATTTTCCTCATTGCACCTTTCTAAGTCCAACAACCTAAGGATGTGAAGTAGACTCAGGGTGCAGAATAGGAAGGCATACAATGATAGTAACAAAATGTAAGACCAAAAAAAAAAAAAGTGGAAAACCTGTCCTTTATTACAAAAGAGTGTGGTTTAATGGAAAGAAGAACATGGAAAGCAGCCAGGCAGACCTTCAGATCTTGTTCTCCACCGCCTGCTGGGCAACCTTGGGCAGGTAACTCTGTCACTCTGAGCCTTGCCTTGTTTCCCTCATTTTTAAAAGTGGTCAATGACTACAACAATTATTGTTAGATGGGATAAGTACTGATGTTCTACTACACAGTAGTTCACAATATTCTATATTTCAAAGTAACCAGAGAGGAGTTTGAATGTTCTTACCACAAAGAAATAATAAATATTTGAGTTGACAGATGTGCTGAATACCCTGATTTGATCATTACACGATGTATACAGCTACCAAAAGTCACATTGTACCCTGCACATATGTACAATTATGTGTCAGTTAAAATTAAATGAAAAAAATAAGACATGGGATCAAAACACCAAAATTAAATAGTAATGTTTAACTTGCAGGTTTCTGAAAAGGCTGATATAGATCTATTAAATGTGTTTTATCTGGTGGATCCCCAAAAAAAATATTTTTGTCTCTAATCCTCTGGTCCCTGCCTCTACCTTATGTTTGGGTGGAATTTTTGCCTGAAAGAAGAAAAAAAGATGAGAAATTATTTAGAGATCTTTCACTGCCATTCTTCTCAGTGTTTTTTGCATCTATGCCTCTCTCTCTCTGTCCTCTCCTCCAACCTCACCTTACAAGCCGCTTGAGCAACTGAATGTATTTATGTTTACAGAGTTTACGTATGATAATCATTGAATATGGCTGCAATGTCATATAAAGTCCTAGAGTTACAGTGATGATAACATGCTATAAATATCCCACTATAAATTGGCATTCCTAGAGCTTTCTGTAAGGGTGGAGGGAAATCACTAACTGCAGACCTATGTACTATGATTTTTAAGTCCTTAGGGCTTTCTGGAGTCTGTACCCAAAGACACAAAGTTCTTTACTTCAAATCTTAAGTCTTATAGAGGGACAAAGTGCAACATGGCAGTACTTATGACAAATGCAACAAGAGCTTAGATTTTATGGCAATTTCAGGGATTTTATGACTTTTTTTTACAAATTGCTAATCCCTATCCATATTTAGAAAAAAATGCAACTAATAGAATACTTAACTAGGAATGCAAGGAGTTTAAAACTTTTAAGAAAAATAAAGTGCTTTACCTAAACAAATTTCAGGTGGATTCATTTAAAATGAAATTAAGTGGCACTTAACTGGTTTGTAAATTGGGATCCATTTATCTCAGTAAAATGATTAAAGCCTTGATTTATCCCTAAAACTAGCTTTATTATTACATTTAATTATACGAGAAGATTGTTAAAGACTGTAGGTTCTCTCTATCCCTTTAAATGGCACTTTATAAGACAATAATTGAATATTGGATAGGATAACTTGATTTTCCAAAGAAATATGTTTCTAATATTTTCCTCTTTTTATTGCAGAAATTGAAACAAGTTGAAGAAACAGAAGATCCTGAGAATAGATTACCTAAAATTTCCCTGGAGTCATTCAATAAATTTAACAGCAATACTGTGATTTTATTAGAAAAAGAAAAGAACTCAATGAACAAGGTTGAAGGACAGAAAGAAGAGAAAGAAAAAAATGAAGAGGCATCTTTGAGTAGCTCAGATAGGCCTGGGATGGACAACTTGGAATCTTTGAGCGATTCTTTATATGATAGCTTCTCTTCTTGTGCAAGTCAAGGTTCAAACGATGTATAAAGGACTTTTCTTTTTTCCTTAGAACTGGGAATGGAGCACTTTGGAGGTAGAGATGAGGACAGGAAACCTTTGCAACACCAGAGCCCACATTGTCAGGTTCAAGGCAGGCAACGCACCAGAGCTTACTTCTCTGCCAGGAAACAAAAGTAGACTCCACTCATTGTGTTTCAAGAGAATAGAAAGTAAATAGATCCATGATACAGAATTCTTAAATTTGCACATTTTTTGAACACTTGTATAGAAGTTGTAAATTTTGGAGGAAAGAAATTATATTTGTAGCAAAAGAAAAAGAAAAAAAAAGACAGCAATAAATGGAATCAGTGCCATGCTCTTGAAATGATGTACAAAGTCTTAGAAATTGATGATCATATATATTTTTAAACAATTACAATTAAGGTTGTTGTGAAGTGCATTGTCCTAGTCCTCAGATTGTTAGAGGGGACACTTTGTAAGCCTAACACAGGGCCTGCAGAAGAAAACCAAGGGATCAGTCTGATCTCCATCTCACTGTCTCACTTTGAGAGGAATTTTACTTCCAGTGTAATTTCAAAATTGTTGCCAGAGATTCAGGTAGTAATAAATGTCACCAGGCTTCTACTAAGAAATGAAAAGGGTACTGAAGTGTGGACGCCACTGGCAAGTGTGACGCTGAGTCAGAAACACCCCTGATTCTACTTCCAACACAGCAGGCTTTGCCTCCCAGCATTTCCTTACATCCTCTTCTACTTCGTGCTTCTCTGTGATTCTGGGTATAATTTGTTGATTTTTATCTTCCTGCTCTTTTTCTTAAAATCTGGGCACTATGGAAAGTGTTCACTTTTTAAATAAAATGAATGGTTGGTGCTATGAAAAATTCATACTTTTAATATTCTTTTTTCTACAAAGACTGTTTATATGTAAGGATAAATTCTATTTTAAAGGTTATGTGTATTTTTTCTAGATGTGCACTATTTATAATTGCTTTTGTACAGGAGCTTGTAAACTAGGCATAATAGAAATATTTTTAGGATCTGTATGGTTACTTTAGCACACACTTGTTTCTTTAAAGAGTATTAATGTAAGATCAGTGTTATTCGGTTAATTTGTGCAATTTCGTTATATTGGAGTTTTGGTATCTTAAATGAAAATCTGTAAAATGTCCTTGTCCTTCCTACGGTTAAAAATCCTTTCGGTGTCTTTTCTGAATAAAAATCCTGTCACCCTTGCACCCTCTGAGAGTGGAAAAGCACTCGTTTAAGGACTCTGGCCCACTGGGTTATTTGAATCGCGATTCGCACGTGCGCCAGGGATGGAGTCCCCTAAGGAATAAACAAACTGGCCCTTTTCTCCAGAGATAGTAATTCTGCCAGTTGTGTTAAGATCAGAGTCATCGGACAAGCGAGTAACGGTCAAAGCGGTTCGGTCCCCCCACCCCTGCCCCCAGGGGTTAACCAACTGGAAACGAAAGGAAGATGGAGGGCCGGTGGGGGAGGTTGGGGGCACGAAGGGAGTAGTAGCCCCAGGCAGAGATGGAAGCGCTCTGCAGCGGGCTTGCAAGAAAGTCATTTAAGCCCATTTCCAGACCCGCTGCGTTGGCAGGGTGGGAAATAAATGACAGCGCCCCAGCCCGAGACCGCGTCCCCCGAGAGGCGAGGCGGCTGCAGGAGGGGAGGGCGACGAGGGGTGAAGCCGAGGAGGCTGTTTGCACCGAAGTGGGCGCTCCCCTGGGATTTTGGAGATTGGGGTGGCAACGTGCGGGACTGGGGGCGGGGGCGCTGGAGTGCTCCGGGCTGGCGAGCGGGCTCCCGCACCACCTGCAGCACAGCTCGCGAGGAAGGCGAAAACAGCACTGTGGCACCCCCGGAGAACGCAAGGTGGGTGACTGGGGCTTGGAAAAGCAGGAGAAGGGGCTGGGGCGGAGCAGCCAGAGGCCGAGTCGTGGGCACGGATGGCGCTTTTCTAGGGGAGGCGTGGGAGTACACTTAAAAACTCGTGGCTTTCGGAGGGCAGATTGAAACTGCCATCCTTTTAGAGGACAGGGATGGAAGACCGCAGACCCTGCTCCTCACCCCCGATTTGCCTGTGTAAAGAGCGGGCGGCGGTTGTCGTTGGGGCGGCCCCTCTCCTGGGCTAGGCGACCAGGGTGGCTTTGATCACCCTCCAGCAGTGCGCGCGGGCGGGCGACAGGAGGGAGGCGAGGGCGAGCGCGCCAGGCTGGGCAGGGTCCCCAGCACACCCTCTCCTATCCTGCCACAGCCGAAGCCCAAACCCGTAATGAACCGATCGCCACAGGCTTTTCGCAAGAAGAGGTGGCGAGGCCGCACGGGACACCCCAGGGAGATTACGAGTGTGCAACTTCAGCAGGTGCGCGGCAGCGTGCCCCCTGGCCCGCCAGCAGCCGGGGACACCGGGCCTCAGCTGTGGCAGCGCTCTGGACGCTGTTGCTGGGGGGTGTCGGCCGGCCCCGGAGTGGGGGTCGCACGGGGCGCGGGTCCAGCCCAGTGCTTCGCGTGCTTTCACCACCACTCTGGCCCCCGGGGCGGCGCTCAGCAAGTCCCTGCGGCACCTGCTGCGCCCTCCTGGCGGAATCCCCAACCTCCAGACTCCCTACCTCCCTTCGGAAAACTATAGACCTCCCCCGCGCCTACCCTGGAGCTCCTTTCTCGGGAACGTGCGAAGGCTGGAGAGGAGGACGGCAGGAGGGGGTGGGGACTTGGGACCGTCTCGGCCTTCCCCGCCCCAACTCGGCAGCCGTCACGTGGTGCCTGGAGCGGGCGGGAGGAAGGGAGGGAGAAGAGGCGAGACTTTTTGGGTGCTGAGGATCGCTAGTAGTTCCTTCAGTCTCAGTCGCCAACTCTGCAAGCGCTGTCCTCGGCCCCGGAGCGCCAGCCAGAGGAGCCGCGCGACCCGCAGCCGGGAGCCCGGCGCGGGCGATGCGGGCACCGCGGGCGGCACCTGCGGCTCCTCTCGGCGGCTGCGGTCGCTTCGGCGGCGGCGGCGCGGGCCCCAGCAGCTTCGGCAGCCACAGCCGCTGCGGCCCGGTGAGCCTCAGCCACGGGCGCTGCCTCTAATGAGCCTGCCCGCCCCGGGCCCCGCGGCTCCGGGACGATGTGGGTCCTCGGCATCGTGGCAACTTTTTGCGGATTGTTCTTGCTTCCAGGTAAGAAACACCGAGAGGCCCGCAGCGCGGCGGGGCATGCACACTCCATCTACCCGGTGGCCCCCTGGCTCCCCGCGAGCCGGTCTCTCTGGGGTTGCTGGGGGCTGCCCAGCGGGAGTTCGACGCTGTCGATCGGTGCACAGCGGCGCTGTACTGGGAAAGTCTCCAAGTCCCGCGCGGCAGGAGGAGAGCGGGGAGTGGCGGATTTGTGAAACTCCGGGATGCAGCTGTTCGGGCTGCACCGTGGAGAAGCCGGGCTGGGGAGGAGCGAGGGTCTGAGCCGTGCTGGCGAGGGGGAAGGGGCGACACTCTGAACCCTCCAAGTTGCAAGGCGTCTCTGGTACCCCGTGGGAGTGGCGCCGCCGACAGGTGAGCTGCGCGCTGGGCAGCCTACGGTCGGGGCGAGTGCAATCGGTGTGGTGCTGGGAGAGGCGCTCCGGGCCCGGCGTTAGCGCTTTGGGGCGGAGAGGGGGTATCGCGGGCGACGCGATCTAGACTGAAGCTCGTAGATCCGAAGAAGCTACTGGGCTGAAGCGAAGAGAGGAGCAAACGTCTAGCTCTCCCTGTGCAGTTCGCCCACCGACTCCCGACCGAGCTCTGTAGAGCTGGGAAACCTGCCGCTGATCCTCGCCACTGGATGCTCTGAAAACGAGGGCCCCGGGGAAAGCAGGCTGCGGCGTCACGGTCCTGGGTGACAGCGCGGACAACACAGCACTCAGGCACACACACAACACACAAACACGTACACACACACACACACACACACAAACACGTGCGCGCGCGCCTCCTCGCACCCACTGCGGCCAGTTCCGCCGCTGCTGGTGTGGTCCGGGAGAGCAGCCAAGGACCCCGGGCTGGGCACTTAGGGCACAAAGCTCTTGACATTGCGCTCCTCCTCTCTAGGTTCCCCGCCGTAGCCGCGCAGAAGCCACAGCTTTTAAAAAATTAAATAAATAAAACTGCTAAGGCGTTTGCGCGAGCAATCATCAATGGTGCCAAAATAGTAATTAAGTAATTTGTAACCAATTAGCAATTAGGCAAACCCTTTGGCATTGACTGAAGCTGACTCAAGTCTCTGGAACTACCTCGCTCTTCAGGTTGTAAATCGCCCCCGCCCCCACCCCCTCTGAACTTCTTGGGAAAAGGCTGCTGGTGTGTGGAGCTGGGATCCAGGGCTCCTGGGCGGTATTCTGCCTTATCCGTCGGGACCCCCGAGTGCCCGCGCCGCCCCCTGCCGGCTTCAGCCTCATCCAGCCCTAACTATTTGCAGACCCTGGAGTGCGGAGCTCCCAAACGTCCCAAACGCGGGCAGGGGAGGTTCTCCGGGGCTGGGATGGGCTCTGTGGAGCTGGATCTGAACTGACCTGGTCTGTCTCGCAGGCTTTGCGCTGCAAATCCAGTGCTACCAGTGTGAAGAATTCCAGCTGAACAACGACTGCTCCTCCCCCGAGTTCATCGTAAATTGCACGGTGAACGTCCAAGACATGTGTCAGAAAGAAGTGATGGAGCAAAGCGCCGGTAAGAGCCCTGTGCTGGCCCCTCTGCTCCGAAGCCTGGGACCGGGAGGGCCGTTAAATTACCAGAAAAGGGACTGGCTTTGATTGAATGCACACACAGTGGTTATCGCAGATTTACTTTTACAGTGCTGGGGAAATGAAGAGGTCTAAGTTGCTTTAATCTCATTAGCGTTAATTACCAGGGCTTCTCCCCAAGCGACTTGGGAGGGGACGAGCGTTTAGATCAGCGAGGCTCCTCTTTACTTACTCCTTTCACTTCCCTCTGCTGCAAGCCGATCAGAGGGTAGAGAATACACGGATGGATACCCAACTCCGGCTTAGGCATCGACATGAGCCTGTGAGCTACGTCATCCTGAAATATGGAGCAAGTTGAAGTTCCCAGAGGTCAGAGCTTGAAAAATGTGTTTTGTCATAGAGCCTTATCATATTTCTTTGAAGAATGCCATACGCTCTTTATTTAATTTTAGAAGTAATGCTTCAAATTCTAAGCACAAATTGCTAAGATCTTTCAAAGGAAGGCTTTTCACAGCCCCACCAGCTGAGCTGCTGGCGGGCTGAGCAGAGGGCCTGGGTATGATGCAAACAAAGGGGTTCTTCTGGGAGCAGACCTCCCTGACTGTGGATGACAAAATCTCCCTAGCTCCACCCACCAACAGTCTTATCAGAAATCAAAGACATCCCCTCCCACCCACCCCCCTACAAAGTGTAACTGGAATTTTAGGAGAATGTTTGGAGCTGTTGCTTCAAATCCAAGGTCAAACCCATAAAAAGAGATTTTGCCATTTGAAGGATATTGAAAGATGGGAAAATAGCCTTTTATGATGAATGATATTGAATGAACCTAAGTCTTGTTCAGTGAACTGCCTGTAGAGCCCTGTGAAGTCATTGGAACTTGTTATGTGATTCCCTTAATCCAATGGGCAAAGACTAGCAAAGCTACTAGTCTTTAAAGCCAACACCTTTAGAAAGTAGTCACTTCTCAGAGGAGGACCCGGAAATGTCTTGATGCTCACCATAGGTGTGTGTTTGTGGTGGGGGAGGGGTGGTATTGCTAGGATGCTCCCTCTGCTCTGATGTGATGTTAGGGAGGTTTTCGGATCTGTTCTTCATAGGGCATGATTGGCCTAGGTGAGAGTCTTCTACCAAAATCTCTCTTAAGGGAAGTCTAAGACATAACTGTTCATAAGAGTAGCTTGTCCAAGAAAAACAGCAAGCATTATTTTGGGATGTGGGATTGGGGTTATTATAAGTATAAAACAAGACTGAAATTGAGGGATGATGATTATTCAGTTAAGATCAACATACATAATTTTGACAAGTGATTTCTACTTCTGTTTTGTCTGATTTTTCTTGAGAAGAAAGCAAGAAAGAAAGAAAAGAAAAGAAAGAAAAAAGAATATCCTACCATTCTACTGGAGAGGTTGCTGTGATTTTAGTTGGAACCACTGTCAGTACTTCATTGTGACTTTCAAATATTTGCAGCTTTCTTTCAGAGTCATTTAGAGCCAGACAAAGCAAGGCTGTACCATGGGTACGTTAAGAATGTCTTCA